GTTGTTTAAAAATAAAAACCTCAGTGAATTTTGGAGCAATAACAATATTGCCACTAAATATCCCAAGCTCAGAGCAGAAGCCGAACCTTTCTTACTTGCATTCCCAACTTCATACATGGTTGAAGCTGGTTTTAGCCACACGAATGCAATTTTGACAAAACAGAGGAACAGATTGAACTTGGAAAACCGTGGTGATTTGCAACTAAAACTTACCAATTTTCAACCGAATATCAATAATCTTGCTGCTTCTCTTCAGACACATCCATCCCACTAACATCAACTATTTTAATAAAAAGGTATGTTAACATATTTTTAAGGTATTCAGTAGTAGTTGCAAAATGACAGTAAGAGGGTTTTTCATCCAATATAACTTATGTTATGTTTTCAAAGATAATTGTGTATTTTATGTATTATGACACGTATGGTTTAAGAACTATAGGCAAATTTCATTCTATCCATAATTTTGCTATTATTTTTTAAGATTATAAATCAATGGAAAATATCTTCTTTTTCTGTTAATGTTATTGGGTGGTTTTTATCAGATATGGGAACTATAAATTCTTTTGTTGGGTTGTTATGCAGGTCTCCTTATTGCTTAACATCAGAAATGCAAAAAATGATTTAATGTTTTTGTTAAATACTTAATCTGGGGGTCAATAAGAAGGCAAATATTCTATAAAGGGGTCGATGGGATAAAAAGTTTGGAGACCCCTAGTTTAATCAAACAGTCATTTTGCTGGAATAACAAAATGTGTTTTCTCTATAGAATTCTTCAGTTCTGGTTTATATACAATGATAAAAACATAAAAAATAACTATATTAAGTTAGATTTTAATTAACTCTTAACTCTTTAAGCCCTGAAAATTTACTCCATCTCTGTTGCTAATGACTAAATTGTTTTTACCCCTCAGGCTACAAGGGAAACTCATATAGAAAAACTAGTCTAACAACTTTTCAATCGGGCGATTTTGTTTTTAACAGATAAGGCCAATTTTGGCTAATATGTTTAGAGTTAAAATTCATAAACAGATCAATTATTATTAGAAATCTCTGCATAATTATAATTAAATGTAAAAATAAATATTTATTTTTACATTTTATGTAACATGTATAGTTTAATTCTTTTTAGTTGATATGTTATCGGTTTTTAAATTTTGAACGTAATGTTCCATTTTATGTTGTATTTCATTTTTGAATGTTCTAACTTGATGATGATCTATTGAGTATATCAAAAACGTTTGTTTTTAATAAACTCCCTCAGCAATTAATAAGGTGTTGGTTACTGGATTTATAAAAATATATTCAAAAACAGCAAACTTATAATCCAAGTGTAACAGAGTAACATTTAGAACTCCTAAGATATGATTATATTTATATTTTTGATTATGAAAACCAAATATGTATATATTTGTAAATTAATATTTTCTATTTACAATAATTAATAATTATTACAAGCTTTAAATAAACTACTATAAATTTACCGAAGAGTATAAAACTCCTCAGTAATCAAAGTGCAAAACTTAAGGCTGGTTCATACTTCATTAGAATGGAAAAGAAAAAGAAAATACCTCTCTTCTCTTTTCATAAGTGTTCATACTTCAAAACAATGAAAGAGAAACATGCAGGAGTTTTTGGAACCTTTTAGCGATAACCAAAAATGTGCTTCGAAACATACCTAAGTCATAAAATTCTTAAAAATTAAAATGTATGTGGTTAATTAATTCAAGAAAAAGAGAGTGGAGAATATTCGAATGTTATAAAATAAATTAAGAAAGACTATCCCAAAGTGCATTTTTGATATTTAGGTAAATTTTAAATATTTATGTAGAGTTAATATCTACTCAGAGTCGATTAACCTAAACTTATAATTCATCAAATATAGTTCTACTCTTTTCCAATAATATTTGTTTAATTACTTTAAAAGATGTCAAAGAATTATTTGATATTTTTTGAAATATATCACACCTAACATTATTCATAAAGAAACTCATAGGATCCCATTATCTGCATAAAAAAGACTGTCATTTACTTCCACTTGTTTAGTGTATTTCTTTTGTAATTTTTTAGTTTTATAAAAGTAAAGTATACCCTGAAAATCCTTTGTGGTTCATTGAAATTGGACATTGCAATACATTTCAATGTTATCAGTCTCCATGTTAAAGGACACAGGAAATTATGGGCTATCAACAGAGAGAAATGTTGACAGAAGTTCTACTTTTCTTTCTGTTAGTAACCCATACTTCTTGTCTATGTCACTGTGCACTAAACCTATTTATTGACCTTTTCTCTTTTTTTTTCTATTGTCACAGAAGTATGAGCTGGCCTTTAGCCTGCTTATAGTAAATCCATTTCTGCTTAGATTACAGCATTAAATTTTTTTGTTACCTTCTTCAGATTCTGAAGATCCAATATATGGTTGGGTATATGCCAATAATGTTTCTACTATTTCAGACTGTACCTAAAAAGTTTCGTATAATATAAAAATATATAATCCAGTAATGTTTTAATCTAAAAATTTTAAATTCTGGTAACCTTTAAATTAAGAATTTTGTAAAGTTAATGATATTTTTTAATAACTTACTTGCTGTGTTACAGCATAAAAAAATGAAGACATTGGAATTAAACTCATAAGTAAATGTGTCCGGAGCAAAACAGGAACAGCTGTCAAATCTTTAAACTATAGATAAAAATATTTATATATTTCAAAAATATTTTAAATTGTAAAATAAAAAATAACTATTAAGAAAAAGTTACAATATTTGAAAAAATAAATACTTTTTGCTTTATTGTTATAAATAACATAAATGAAAGTAATTTTAATCATACAGAGATTTTTCAGTGTTCATAGCAGTTTATCATTGTAAATTTCTATAAATTTTCTACAATATTATCAAAAATTTCAAGTGCCCTAATATTGTTAGATTTAAAGCTTATTCTGTACTTAAATTATTATTTTTATAACCTAGCAATAATACACACACAATTCTTTATGTACCTTTCTGTTAAAAGCTTAAATATCACTAACATCAGTATATTAAACAATTCAAAGCCCTATATTGTTTGGCTATATTACTAACATTATCAGCTTCACTTTGAAGCAGATCAATAAAATGATAATTAACTGTTTTCAACAATGTGGTACAACTTATATAAAAAACTCCAGAAATTTTTTGAAGTGATTTGTCCTGAACTTGCCAGGCCTCACCCAACACTACCCAGCTACCTCATTCTGGACCTGGATGAGCTTGATAAAAAGGTCCTCTTAGTGCAGGGGTCGGCAACCTGCGGCTCGCGAGCCACATGTGGTTCTTTGGATGTGAAGCTGCGGCTCTTTAGTTCCATACGCAAATATTATTTATTTTATCAAAAAAAAAACCATTTAAAAATCGTTCTGAATCGATTAACAAGGATTAGGCACCTATTCTATCTCTCAGCCACTTGTACTCACTTTTCACCGCACCCCTCCCCCGTGACACGCGTCATCACTGTCGTCAGTCCGTCGGAAGGTCTCAAATGACACCGTCGTCAGATGTTTCTATGAGGTTTAATTCGCTTTCGCCGCAAGACAATTTGGTGTCCTCACCAGTGTTTTGGCTGTGATGTATAGTTTGTTGTTTCGAGTAAAAGAGTTAGAAACGAATTATCTTCTCAAAGTTATGTATGTACATATATGTAATAATAATAAAATGAAGTAAAGGTAGGTAACATAAAAATTATTATATTTTTAAAATACATACTATACATAATTTTTCCAAATAAGATACCTAACTACTTTTTTTGAAGTCAATAAGAATTGTCAAAAAAGAAACTAAGTACTACTGTTGGATATTACCGCGAAAGTGTTTTTATTAAAATATACAGTATATTCAATAAATTACCTATTTTATTATTTATCTATTTTATAGCTTTTATTATTTAAAAATTAGCGTTAAAATAATAATTATAAGTGTAAGTACCTATAAATTGTTATTTAATAAACCTATTTTCGAACTCCGAGGATCAAAGTAAGTAGATATTTGCAGTTTTAGATTGTTTATATGTTTGGCAATTTTCATTGATTTCGGCATAGCTGGGCATAACACCTTTACTCGTAAACTAAGTATCTAATATTTGCCAAAATTAAAAAAAAACTAAAATGTGCAGACTGCGTCGTGATAAACACGTTCCGACAACTCCGTGTTTATCATGATGAAACTATGTACTTATAGTCAATCAGTACGTGAGAGAGTGAGACAAACAGTGTTTTGTGTCTAAATTATTTATTTTAATAATTAAATTATTAGAATTATTAGAGCCAAATTTATCCAAACTTTCTAAAACCATGCAAAGCCAACGCTCCCATTGAATTTGTTTGCTCAATTGTTTGTTATTGAAGTACAAGTTAGTGTTGTAAGTAAATGTTTAATTGTAGTAATAATTTACTTAAATAATAAGTAATTATCTAATAATGCCATATATATATATTATCTAATTTGTTGTGAAAAACACTATTTATATATGAATAAATAAATTAGTTTTTTTATCAAAAAACTATTTATGCGAGTACTATTTATTGTTGGCAAGAAAAAATTTTGTGGCTCTTTAAAAACTTTGAAATTTTGTAAATTGTAATTTTTGGCTCTTTTGACTCAAAAGGTTGCCGACCCGTCTTAGTGCCACATAACAGAAACTGCTAAACTCTGAGCCAACTAATCTGTTTGGAAAATGAGTACTCAGTTTCTGATAAACAAATGTACCCTTTGGTCTGATGATGTTAACTTAGATATGCTACACATTACACTCAATTGAAACTTTGCACATTCACTACATCAATTAATCAATTATTTTGGATAAAAGCACATAACATTAATAAAAAACAATTTCCATGAAATTCTCTCTATTACCCAAATCTATGAACATTTCATGTTTTCCATAATACTATTAACTCTATCTTTTAAATAATGTTACACAACGTTATTGAAATAATTCTTGAATAAAACATACAAAAAGAACCTACAAAACAAGAGTTTTATTTGGATAAACTTACATAAAATTTTTAATGACATTAACTATTTTAAAATATTTTTCTGTTTTAAAAATATCTAGTTAATTTCTCTTTTATAAACAAAAAAATTGTTTTTCTATAGTCTGTTTAATCTAAAAATAACAACAAAATATCTAACATACAAATTTTCTATATAAAGTTTTCTTAATAATAATAATAACAACCCCCTCAATGGGTGCCATCGGGTTGTGGTACGGGGCCTGTGCACTTCTGAAAAGCTGAGAGCTACTCTGGTGGTAGTGTACACTACCAGTAGGGTCACCCAATTCAGACCAATCTCAGTGGAGGAGACTGACTAAATGGCATCTACCATCATCTCAACCCATCTACATGGTGAAGCTAGTCAAAGAGAAAAAAGAATCCTATATTGAATCGGTCATTGCCCGGGTCAATAAAGACTGCAATGGATGCTAGTGTCCCTGGGCATTAATCAACAAGTGGGCTACAGGACACAGTTGCTAATGTTGATCAACTGGGGCACAACAGCACTGTAGGGTTACCAAAAGAAATGTCAAAAATTCAGTGCATCAGAAAACCGAACAGTAATGGCTTGTTATTATAATTCAGAACCATTGAAATGTGGCTACTTGAATACACAGACTCAGAGATTTCTGAATGAAAATTATATTCTAAAAGTTCATTTGAATAAAAATGGGTTGGTGTTACTCAAAATGATATTAATGTAAATGTAATAAAGGCTACATGTATCTGAAATATAATATATATATATATGACTATGACATCTACCAACAGTTACTCTATTCATTGATGTACATCAATGAATAGAGTAACTGTCGGAGTTTCTCATAGTCATATATATATATATGACTATGACATCTACCAACAGTTACTCTATTCATTGATGTACATCAATGAATAGAGTAACTGTCGGAGTTTCATCTCTCATCTGCATTCAAATATCTTGTTGTCTACTACCTATTGGAAGCACCATAAATAAAAATGGGATGCTGCAATAAAGAAGGCATTTTGTATTCTGTAGTTTACAAAATCAAAATCACTCATCATTGTGGGAGGAGTGTTGAGTAATTTGCAAGAACTGCAGTATTGTAGCTGTTGTGGGAGGAGTGACAATAGGTATGCTGTAGTGTGAGAATCTGGAGTTGAAAAGGGATATTTTAATAATTTTGTTAAGTTAATATTTTAATTATTATTTTAAAAACAAGATGACAGAAAAATTATCTATCTTTGTACTTCCTCTGAATCAGAGAAAAGTGATATAGTTCCTTCAAAACTGATAGTTGAGTTCAATGCCTCACTTCGAGTATTGACACAAAAATGCCTAATTTCCTCCTCATAATGGAAATATAGCATGATATTCAAACTATACCATTGGTGGACCAATGAGTATAAGGTAAAGGGTCACCTTCAAATGGTGCTTAAGCTTCAGTCATATTTTGTCACCCTTTAACCATATGCTTAAGTCATAATTCTTGTTTGGCACTCTTGCGAAGTGTTGAATCTTGCATCTATTGAACTCCCTACACCTTGTCTCCAGATGTTAATGCTCTCAACACCTTCATCACCTTGGATGTATGTAAACAGGTAACAGATTGTATATTTTGATGTAAACTCTCTCCAAAAGAGGTCTATCGAGATATTGAGTTTTTGAGGTTAGATTGTAGAACCTTTTCATTTATATTTTGTACAGTTATTTCATTTGATAGTTCATTTAAGTTTATCTCTATGTATAGATTTAATTAGTTGTTTAAATAAATAATTTTTGTTACATTCTAACTTGTCTAACTCCATCGTCGTCCCCACAGAAACCCGTTAAGTAAACCTTCTTAAGTTCCAGCCATACTTGAAGCATTTTTAGACCACTCGGAAATTAATTCAATTCAATTGAGAGTTAGGACACAAATTAGTTTATCCTAACTGGTGTTAGGACCCTGACGAGAAAGAAAGACCTAAACAATCTTTCCTAAAATCAATTACTTTATCATCCTGGTAGTGAGTGGAGAAACCTGGAACGCAAACCCCATTTTCATACATTTGATGTCACAGAAGTGGAGTTTAAAACACCCCCAATATCACATTTGGTGTCAGGAGTTTGAGTATTTTTCCATATCTCACATGTAGCAAGTTAAGAAGAATTTGAGTATCAGTTGGATGTGTATGCACTGTGACACAAGATGCAGACATAGAGAAATTATAATGGGCAAATGAGAAATTTTAACAGTTTTCTAATGTTTTAATGTACTGTACATTACAACATTCTCATATAATAATTAACATAATTACAATAATTTAAAATAATAGAATTTTTTTTAGAAGACCCTGTATTATATTTGTTCACAAATCTACATTGCAATTGTCATACTGATAAGTATAAAAACATTTATGAGAAACCTGAGTAATCATATCAAACAAATAAATACTATTTTTCATTTATTTTCCATTAATAGCATAAGCATATTAATTATTAGTTAATTTGTAAAAATAATATATAATAATAGAAAAATTACATTAAGTACATAAGAAGAAAATGTTTAGCATATATATATATAAACTTACTTCTGCACCTCTGCAATATATTAAATACTGAAGCATAAACTGAAGCAAAATGACAACAGGCTTACAAATAGCTATTACCAATATACCCTGAATTCCAACTAAAGCAAAAGATTGATTTGATGGTTTCAAGAAAGCATCACAAATTTTCTGTAAAAAATGTTTCAATACATTATTTTCTCAAAATATAATTAAATAAAATCAATTTAAGTGTTTATAACTGATTGTTAAAAAATTAATTCAAATTTTATTTTAGTAATGTTACCTGTAAAATTGCCAAAAAACAAGATAAACCATCATTTGAAAAAACTTGAATGACTGCATATTTATACTTCAATTCTTCATTTTCCTCTAAATAAAAAACACATAAAATAATCAATGTTTTTGCTATTAAATTTAAGATACTCATTTGATAAAATATATTTATTTAAAAAATGTTATATAAAAGTTGAATACAGTAAGACCTTGTTTAGTGCTTAGGATGCGTTCCTAGATGACAAAGTGCTAAATGAAACAGCATTAAACAAGGTCATTTTAACACACAGTAAATACAGATAAGGGAACACGCGGCCAAAAATAAACGAATTTTAGTTTAGTTTTAAGTTATTTTTATATTAATTTGCATAATAATATGTGTTACATAACACAAACATATGCACACAGAAATATAAAGTCCATTTTTGCAATGGTCCTGGTTCTTCTGAAATTCCTGATTTTTTTGCAATGAAGTCATCTAGTGTCATTTGTTGCTTTTTTTGCTTTCATTAAGTAAATGTCAGTAGAAGGAGATTGCATCCAAAATGCCTCATCTTGCTTTTGTGCTCCTTTCAAAATCTGGATCACTCACTACAATTTGATCAATGGATTCAGTTATTGTTACCAAACTTTTACTAAGAAAATCTGTAGCAAGTTCTTTGGGTTCTTCATTTTCAGAATCATTATTGCCAATCTGTCAGTTCTTGAAGGTCATCGTTGGTAAGGCTCTCACCACAAACCTGCAGTAACTCCTCAATATCCTGCTCATTTACATCTCCTAGTCCTACTGGTGTAAGGAACCATGTCCGAGCATTATTTTTATTTACTTTTATTTTTGCTTTTTATTATATTTTTGTTTGGGGCTTATGTTTTGTTAGGATGAAGGTTTCCTCACCAGTCACCTTAGAAACTTAAAAATAGAAGAGAAACCAACTCACCAAGGAGAGAAAAGCGCCGTAGAAAAAACTCACGCACACTCGCACTCCAGAGCGGAAAAAAGTAAGTCCGCACCGAGAAAAGGGGAAGACCCCACCAGCACAACTTAGGGACTCGCTAAACCTTAAAGAATAAAAACATCCCGAAAATTGTCAAAAAGGATAATGTAAAAGGTTAGCAAGTATTGTCGGAAAATAGGCTGCCAGACAAACAGAAAAAAGTTTGTTAGCAAATAAGTATGTAAATGAGGGGAGTGATCGCATTCAGAATTGTGACGTCACCTCACAGTATAAAGACTGAATCTCAAGTGAAGATGGACGAGGTGAGCTTCTGATAGCAATGAGCTTGGTGAGCTTCGTAGCAGTGAACGAGAGAGGTGTCCGATAGGATCAAATAGTTCCAAAACAATTTTGAAGTTATTCGATTTGTAGATCGATGAATAGAGAAAGTCTTGAGAGTTGAGGAAATAGGTTCCTAGTATATTGAGGTGACGATTAGGATCTTTAATTCATAAGAATTATTATTGTACATAAGTTAAGTCTTTGAATTTTGTCGAATTCCAAAGGGGAATAGATTTAAGTTAGAAACTAGATTGATTTGAGTTTTGTCTGGTTGATTCTTATTGATTTTCATTGAATAAATTGTTATTTGATTTTTACTAAATTTTGTAAATAGTTTATTACTAGAAATTAATTAAATATTTGATTTGTTATTGACAAACTTTGTCATTATTTAATTTCGGTGCACGCTAAAAGTCCAGGTCTGGCACACTAATGCAAATCCACGTAAAGTATCCGTTAGGAAACGGCTATTTCCAGCACACAGTCGTGTCGATAATCGTTGGAAAAGTCGGAAAAATAAAATAGTACTTTACACTGTATTGATTAGGTAGTCAACGATAGGCTCTTCTGTTGAGAATCCTTGGATACCTTCAGCCATCTTCAGCTTCTTCCACACACTCTTCATGCATTCATCAGTTAATTCTTGCCATGCAAAGTTGATATTGCCTATGGTATCCATGATGTTATATTTTTCCAAAATTGCACCAAACATAAATTTAGAGGAAGTACAGTGCTACGACGAATTGCCACCTTTATCTAATTGGTTCATGTTCGCAAATAATCATATTATATATGAATCAATGAAATGCCATGATAATTTGAATCAACATAAATTTTGAGCCTTTTTTAGGCTTCGAGCAGACCGCATTATATTGAATCAGTGTTAATCAAGAAGTGCTAAACAAGGTCTTACTGTATATTAAAATTACTTATCCAATTTTACTAAAAGTTTTAATTGATATCAAATGTTTGTAGTAAGTATATCAATTAAGCTTATTTCAATTTAATCATTTTTGTAAATATTAATATTTAAGCTTGAAATTACACGAGTGTTATGAAGATATAATTTCTATGTTACATATAACAATTTGAAATTTAAAAGACTATACAGTCAAGTTACAAACATTCCTGTTTATGAACAAAATTTTGCATGCCATATTTGCTCTGGTTTATGTATGATAACTTGGTTTCCGAACAAGCTACTTGGTAGAGCCAGCCACTGATGGTCAACTTTCTATACTTCCTATGTTAAAGAAAGTTGACGGCCTGACCACTCAATGACAGGATTACAAATTCAGTATTGCTGCTGAGATTTGCCTCATGTCATTAGATGTCACAACATGAACCATCGATATAACATTGTTACTCAAATTAGATTTCAATGCACATGCATGTAAGGTACTATAGTACTTCCGATTTATGGTAAGTGTCCCAATTCAATTTAAATTAAATTAATAAAAACTATGTTAACAGATATTCATGTAATATAAATAACATCCAATAATTCATATTTAACAGTGCTTAATTCAAATTAAATAACAAAAATTTATTAATATAANGTTAGTTTTGATTTCGGTAGGTGATGAAACATTTTGCTTTTAATATATATATATAAAACGGTTATAGATAATATTTGTAGGCATTTTTATGCATACACTGCTGCTAAAAAGGTATAAAAAAAAAAAAGCTTTGTTTTGGGGGTTGAAAACAGATTAATCCATTTTACATTGTTTCTTATGTGAAAATTTGTTTCAGTTTGAGAACAAATCAGTTTGACCTTTTAGGAATGAATTAAGTTCTTAAACTGAGGTTTGACTGTATTCATTAGAAAGTTCTGTTTATTTTAACTAAAATATTATTATTAATTTAAAAATAAATTTAATAATCATTATATCTATGTTTGTTCTTTGCTTTCGAAAATGAGTACAGAGTTCCTTAAAGAATTATATCTTCATTGAACAAATGAAGATGTGTGTATATATATATTACACAAACACACACACGCAATAAAACCTTGTAATTTAAAATAATGAATTTGTCAATTCTAACCTAAACTTTAATAAGATGCATCCAGATGTGATCAAGGAGCAGTTAGGAAAGGAACTGCAAACAAAAATTAGCTTGTTTTTAAACTCAAATTAGTAAATGTTGGCAGTGACAAGAATGATAGATGCTACTGCTTCTTTTGCATTGTAAAAGTTTATTAAACTACTGTATTTGTTCATTTAAAATGCATAATAAAATTTGACTTTAAATAAAATGTATTTTTTGGATCATATACCCCTCAAGTAAGTAAAAATCTCACTAATTTGGACTAGGCTTTCTCCCAATTAGTACAAATTAGTGAGGTTCTACCATATACCATATTTTTTGCAGAACTAGCATTTTGGTCTATCTGGGAGAAACCATGAAATCAAATATTTCCATATGGTAAAAACTAGCATGCTGGTTTATTCCAGGAGAGTGCTGGCATGCTAGTTTAATTTAGCGAGGTTATACCAGGAACTTGGTCTATCAACTCCACCTTATTACTTTCAATTTGTTCTCAAGCCCTGAAAGATGGTACTAACAGCAGCGGTTGTTCACAAACAACAACTGCTGCATAAGTAAGCTTGCATATATAACATGCAAGCATGCTTGTTAACTCACCTGAATTTTACCTCCAATTAGAATTATTTATAGGATATTTGAGACTGATTAAATCCATTTCACACAAAGTTTTGCCGTTAGCAAAGCTCTGTGTGAAGTTGAGTTTGCAACAAATTTGCAAGCTGTTCAAGCAACCATCATTCAAAACCTCAATGATTATCATAAAGTACACATTTATCTGTTGTAAATTACACAAAAATTTTGAAATAATGGATTATAAAACATAAGGAATTTATGTAATGTCTCTATTGGATAAGATAAATTTTTACTTTGACTTTATGTCTGTTAATGCAGTTCTAGAAGTGTAAAGAGGATTTTCATTGATTATAGCACCTAAAATTAAGCAGAAAACATACAGGAAACATTTCCCTGCATGTTGTTTGTGTGCTATCTATTATATGATGATATCTATTGTATAATAGTGCAGAATGGTAAACTATAACAAGGAGTGAGCAGAAACAGGAACCACACTAGGATGAAATTTACAAGACAAAATTGTGATTTTTATAGTTATTATTTTTGAATGTCAATATTAAGTGTATAATATTATGGCAGTTTTATCATCTTTATCATACTTAATTAATAACTACTAATGTACACTTATGTGTTATCTATACTAATATTATAAAGAGGTAATGTTTGTAAGTAAGTTTGGATGTAGTGAATAATCTCCGAAACTACTCATCAAATTTGAAAAATTCTTTCGCCAATATTTAGAATGGATCTTCAGGGTGGACATAGGCTGTATATTATTCCGTTAAGTGTTCATATAAATTAAAAGATATAATCTAGGTTAAGGCTTTTATGTCCAACAAATGGCGCTAAGAGTACGACACCCTAAGTTTGCTTTTCTGTGAGGCATTATGCTTTTCTGTGAAAATGAACTTAAAACAGATCATCTTCTATCTATCTACATAAATAAAAATGTAATGTTCGTTTGTTCCTACCGATTCCTTTGAAATTTTGACACAATGCTGCATTTGAATACACACATGTTTTTATATAATATGCATGTCGAAATTTCCCCCACTGAAGGGAGATGGACAGGATTAAGGCTTACCGTAAAGAACTCTGCTTCTATTTATACTATTTTAGATGAGGTTTTTTGCATTTTTGATTGCGTTTTAATAGGGTACGTCAACAGAATATACACTAAAAAAGGGATTTTTCAAAAAATTTCTCCCACGGGGGAAGTGTTATACATTTATAATAGATACATTTTGAGCCACAACAATGTGTGGCGAGGTCTGCTAGTTTATTATAAATTTGAAAATTTTACTTGTAAAATTGCCATATTCACTGTCTACAGTATTGTATAAATGATGTATTTATATTAAAAAACTAATTGAAAAGTAGGCAAATTTATAAAACAAAAATAAATGAAATTAATTTAAATTTATTTTAATTTTTTAGTAGATTATCTTTTTTTGCGAAACAACACTAAAACAATTTCTATAGTTATGTCACAAAAGAAGATAATTGCAATTAATTAAAAAAATTGTAATTAAGGGTTCAAAAAATGCAGGCAAAATTAATGCAAAATTAAATAATAATAAATAAATAAAAATTATTAAAAATNTAATTCATTAAGTGGCCAATAGCTTCATATGTATAACTTGGTATTTTTTTAGTAGGTGCCATCCATAAAGCTAATTCATGAAGTTTTGGAGTCGCTTCTAATAGTAAAAATTAAACTTTTATTTTCACAATTAAAATTAATTATGTATATAAAAGTAATAAATAATCAATAAACAAACAATTTTAGGAATATAATCTTAAAAAAACCTGTTTATACAGTATACTTTTTAAATTTAATTGCATATATTTTAATGTTTAAATAGGAGTAATCAAATTTTTATTTCTATATTCAATCATGATATCAATATCAATAAACTAGAATTTCTTAGTAGAAAATACAAAAAATTACATCTAACAATACTGAGATATGCAAAAAAACTGCATACTCTAACATCTAATACAATTGTTCAATAACTTAAAAAACTTGCAATAGATATTGGCAAAATTGTGTTTTATGCCACCTGCAACATTAAGTGATGGCACCATCCTTTCAGTGGTATAAAAGTGCTGCTGAATGATTGAAACCAGGGGCAACCCCACTAAATATTAGTGCCAGCAGATGTTATTGCCACACACATTTTCAGTTTTGGTTCACATTTGTTGTTACACCTTTTGTTCATGACAAATATAGCAGTAAGCTTTTGCTTTTCACAAGTTGTGTTAAATTTTGCAAATTAAAATTTTTAATTGGTTAAAATTATTAATTAGAAAAAAATCTCTCACAGTTGCAAAATTATTAATACTTAAAACAAGACATTTCATTAAATAAAAAATCTAGAAATGAAATGCATAACTTTCCCAATGAATTTTATTTAAAATTAAATATAATGCACGCATTACATTTAATTTTAAATAATATTTTTATTTTAAAAGTTATGCTATTGCAAGGTGTGTTGCTAATCCAAAAAAAGCTGAAAAACACTAGTCTATAATATAAATGTAATTAAAACATGTTCTTGTAACAAAGTTTAACAAACTGCTAGTCTTTGCACTCCATGTTGCCCAAAACTGTCCCCTTTGGAATCTACGAACAGAAAATGTCATCAGTTGAGAGATCATGAGATAAAAAGACTCTGGTTATACATCCCTCTCTAAAGGGCACATTAAAAAAACAAACAAGTTTTTATTCTAAAACTATAAAACTGCCAGCATTACATCAAAATCTATGATTATATGTTTAATTTCTGCACTTTGTCTTCTTTCTAACAATGTAAAATATTCATGGATTGCCAAAAGTGCTTTGTTTATTTTATTGTAATTTAATCCAAAAATGCAAAAATAAACATATTGAATTTCAGAAACTGGCTATAAATTATCTCAACTTACACCAATTATTATCAGCTGTGTGTGAAATTTGAGGGAAAGGTGTTATTTTTAAGGATCAGAGCAGATTGTGTGTAGCCCACACTGACTAACTACTACTACAACTAATGTCAATAAGCGGATTGTTTTATTGCACTGTAAACAAAAACGTTCTTTCTGATTTTAAGCCGTCAAATTACAACGTTATTATTTTATTGTACTTGGAAGAATATTTTCTTTAACATTTATTTAACAAATAGTTTTGTTAGATCTGATTATTACATTAGTTTTATACAAACTTTTGTATAAATCATTAAAACAAACAAAAAAAATTACAATAATTCGACAATAAGATTATCATTATTTTTAAAATATTACTTCTAAATTTAATATAGCAAAATATGTTTTTTGTATAAAGATTTTCATTCAACATATCATATTATAATGAATGTACATATTTTAAAATTACTTTAATATATATTTTTCTCATTCTAATTTATTATACTAAAAAATAAAATACAATTAATTTATCTTACCTTTATTTTTTGAAGAATTTGGTACAGTAACATGCTGCAAAATTCTAAGTGCAGTTATCAAATCTGGTGGAAGAGAAGCTGCATTTTCTGAACATGTTTTAATATAATTCATTAAGTGGCCAATAGCTTCATATGTATAACTTGGTATTTTTTTAGTAGGTGCCATCCATAAAGCTAATTCATGAAGTTTTGGAGTCGCTTCTAATAGTAAAAATTAAACTTTTATTTTCACAATTAAAATTAATTATGTATATAAAAGTAATAAATAATCAATAAACAAACAATTTTAGGAATATAATCTTAAAAAAACCTGTTTATACAGTATACTTTTTAAATTTAATTGCATATATTTTAATGTTTAAATAGGAGTAATCAAATTTTTATTTCTATATTCAATCATGATATCAATATCAATAAACTAGAATTTCTTAGTAGAAAATACAAAAAATTACATCTAACAATACTGAGATATGCAAAAAAACTGCATACTCTAACATCTAATACAATTGTTCAATAACTTAAAAAACTTGCAATAGATATTGGCAAAATTGTGTTTTATGCCACCTGCAACATTAAGTGATGGCACCATCCTTTCAGTGGTATAAAAGTGCTGCTGAATGATTGAAACCAGGGGCAACCCCACTAAATATTAGTGCCAGCAGATGTTATTGCCACACACATTTTCAGTTTTGGTTCACATTTGTTGTTACACCTTTTGTTCATGACAAATATAGCAGTAAGCTTTTGCTTTTCACAAGTTGTGTTAAATTTTGCAAATTAAAATTTTTAATTGGTTAAAATTATTAATTAGAAAAAAATCTCTCACAGTTGCAAAATTATTAATACTTAAAACAAGACATTTCATTAAATAAAAAATCTAGAAATGAAATGCATAACTTTCTTGGTGAAAACACGACAATGTAATAGAACAAATTTAAAATTACTTTTGTGACACCATCCATTACGAGATTTTGTTAGAAAACAACTTTTATATTATTAATAATTAATTACAAAATTGCAAATAGTTTAATTTTGAGGGTAAAAATGAATTTTATATAAAATTATAAATGCTAATAACAAGTAAAATCATCACAAAGTTCGACTCTATTCAAGTTATGATCCTTTTCTATCTTCCCACCCCTAGATCTATATCCGCCAAAATTTAATAGCATCAATGCCCTTTATACACAAGCTGCCATGCTAAATATTGTTTCTTAATCATTACCTTGTCCTGGGATATTGAATGAAACATACGTCAACACACACAGATTTTTTGTTGTTGCCATGTTTGGATTCAGGAGGTCTCAAAACACAGAGATTTGTAAAAAAAAAAAAAAAAAAACTCTGGAAGGTCAAATTTGATGAGATTCCAATATTTTTCCATGTTATATACATAAAAAGCTGGGAAAATAAAGCAATGTTTTTATTTATTTTTCATCAATAAATCCTGTAATCTGTTGTAAAGCTATAAATTTATTAAAATTTATCCTGCTAGAAACATTATATTATGTTTTGTAAATTCTTTGGAAAAAACAGCAAACAAAATATTACACTCCTTTATATATGAAGTTATTTTTAGCTTTAAACGTAAAATTACATTTTCAGCAATAAAAAACAAATTTTAATGTGTTATTTAGTGTGAGATAAGCTGGGGACAATAGGAGAATTAACACTTAATCGGCATGGGCGATAGGAGAGCAAAAGTGAGTGGGGAGGTCACAGGTAAGTTGATAGGTGTCCAGATTCAGAATGAGAGACAATTTGACAGGTTTCAACAAAACAAATAGAAGTTTAATGAATAAAAACTAACTCTAAAATACAGAGCTGAACACGGTTAAGCTAAATGCAGTTACAAATAATTACTAATTACAATGGGGCTACTCTATAGCAGCTATGCCTATTGCCATTGAGAGAGAGTGAGTTCTCAGACCGCTCATTACCTCTATGTGTGGATAAAGAGCTATATGTGATGATCAGTTCAGTTATGGAAGTAGTGAAAGCCCTCAATGTCTTCTACTGTCATCTTCTCGGACTTGATCAGGATGAGAGACTAAAATGGACACTAGCTCAAGAATAATTTCCTGTGTCTATCACCTCGAACTTCTGGTGGTTGTCGTTTTTATAGCATTATGGTGGAAAAGGGGTCACAAGTTCGTCCTTTGTTGACGATGACTTGCATTCTTTATGACTATGTGTCAACTTTCCCACTTGATTGTTGATACAAACAGTGACATCTGATCCCATATTCTTCAAGTAGAGTTTTTTCTATTGGGGAGGTTTACACTTTGAAAAAAACATTTAGTATTGATTTTAAGGATTCCTTTAAAATCCGCAGTCTCACATTTAGTGTATTAACTAACAGTAGGCACTATTTTTTCAGAAATTTGAAATATAAGCTATTTTCAGAACTGTCTGCATCACTCAATTTGGAGTTTTGTCGCCATATTTTTCAAGCAAATTTAGAGTTGTTTTATTTTGTATAGGTGAGATAAGTTCAGATATGGCACATAAATGAACTGAACAGGAAGTGTTTGAATTTATTAATGAAGAAATGAACAAATATAATGACAATTATATTGATTTATCTGACAAAAGTGTAACGATTATGTTTTAGGCTTAAATGAAATAAAAAAAGTACAAATAAGCTACGTAATTACGTTATTATACAGTTTATATAACATTACATAATTTATATATATTAAAAAACATAGTGATAAACTTGTAAACATTTTAAATAAAATTAAATTTCAGATGGCATAACTATTAATGCAAGATGGTACCAATTAATACAGCACCCATAATTTATATACTTTATAGACATTCTCAACGCAAAAGTCAGAAAATTCCTATATTTCTGACAGTGCTAATGCAATCTCATCCCCATTTGCTAAACCAATGCAATTATGAAAAACAGCCAGAGTCAGATGAAAGTCTATTGATGATATTGATACAGTACATCATTATTATAAATAAATTCATCAATGTACTGTACAGTACAGTACTATATAATTTTACTTAAAAAACAAATGTTAAAAGCTTTGCATTTTTCAATTTTTTTCATTTTATCTCTATCTCTAAAACATATCCAAATAACATAAAAGCGAATTACATAAAAATAAAGCCCACATACATCAAAATTGAAAAACACATAGTTAAAAATCCCTGAAATCAGAAACTGCAGACTGTTTTTACTGTTCACCTATCTTTAGTCAATCGTTTTTTATTCTCAGTTGAAAATACAGTAAAATCACTTAAATCAGCCAGCATACAGCAAAGGAACTAGATCAACAGAACCAGCAGGGTAAGCATTAAATTGTCCCTTAATAAACTTTCCAAATTTTATAAAATATTAACTTGAAAAAAATTTAATCGGTAATTTTATTACACTATAAAAATTATTAAAATAAAAATTGAAAAATGATAAATAGTGTTGTTTTAAATTATATTNCTCACACAGATAAAGGAAGACATGGTCTCGGAAATATATAACTATATACAATATTTTGTTACATAATCAAGGTTACTAAAATAAAAATTGAAAAATGATAAATAGTGTTGTTTTAGATTATATTTATTTATCATTTTTTGACTTGGTTTTCATTTTTAGACTGGTTTATTAACACCTGCTCTCAAATTGAAGGTGTAAAGGTTAATTGTGAGGGGCTCGGAAAGAATTAAAATATTGTACTTAGAAAAAAAATTTTTTGTTAACGTTATACTGTGCACTCTCAAATTTATGATATTGTGTAACTAACACTTCTAAGACCTCAAAAGTCATGTAATAACATGAAGTTTTCAATATGTAACAAGAGAAAGACATTAGATGGGTGTTGCAATTTAAGTATTTAAACATTAATTAATGAAGTAACATGACAGCTTGGCATGACTGTCATTGCCCATAACGGCAGAAAAAGTGAGAAATAGAGATAGATATATTGCTGAAATAGTTGAGAAAAAAAATAGTGAGAATAACGATCCATTCTGAGGCCTGTGTTGACTTTTTGTAGAGTTTGTTTAATACAAACTGCCAATTTTTAAGTTCTTTCAACTTTGTATTAATGGAATTTGACTGCATATATTTTCGGTGATTTTCAGAAAAGTCTTGATAACAGATGAATGTGTAGGGAGCACATAAAGGAATTTTCATGTTTTTTAAAATGATGAACTCAGTAAGTTTAGACAAAGAAAAATCTATTAAATGAGTTCATAATTGCAATGTAAAAATGGCATATACCCATAGCATCGTATAACTTACATCTATTTTGAAACTGCTTTTTGAGCAAAGATAATCCACAAATGATTTGCAAGAAATTACAATAATTTGATTTCAGATAATTTAGTACAATAGAGCATCGATTATCCGACTCAATTGGGGACTGGGGTTGGTTGGATAACTGAAAAAACAGATAATCGAAAAGTATGAAAAAATACATTATTAGCATAGTATATTAGTATATCCCATGTAATTAGTATATTGCTATTAACCTACTTTGCACTGAATTTTCATTGATGTTAAGCCTAACAAAAATTTTTTGAATAATAATAGTCACTATTGTATCATTAAAAATTAAGCCTTGTTTAAATAGTGGCCTCCCTTTCATGGTCGAGACAGTGTTGCCAGCTAAAACATGCAAAATTTAACAAAAATAATATTAAAGTAGCCAAGACATAGCCAAATATTGTAGCGCCACATCATTAGTGGACATTTGAATTTGCTGACTAGAATGTGGTTGGTTAACCGATGTGACGGTTGATCGGGGGTTGGATAATCAATGCTCTACTGTAATTTATTACAACATAATTCTAAACATACCTTGACTGCTAAGATTTGTCAATGCTTCTGCAAAATTTTCAATCATTGATATTCTTTCACTACATTGCACAGTTAATATGAGTAATTCAGTTGCATATCCAGTGCAAACAGATTTTGCTAATTTTGTATCAAATTCTTCATTTCCTATTACAATAGAAATTATTTTTAGTTAAATTATAAGAAATAAGCTTGTTAAAAAATAACGCTTGATAAATATAGTAAATTCTTAGTAAGTCAAACTTACTTAACTCAAATTTTATTTTTATCCCAACTTAACTAATTCCCATAGACTCAATGCATTCTGTTTCTATAAGTCAAAGTTTTGAGATCACATTTCACCAACTCAAACAAAATTTAAATTCAAAGACTATTTCATTTGTTCTTTGGAATTAAGCACAAAGTTGCTGCCGAGAACTACATATAGGAACTCTTTTTGCAATGGAAAAATTAGATTTTATTTTCCAGTTTTTATATGTGCATTTTGGGCCATATGCTCTCATCAGTCCTTCTTATGCATAATATGATAAAATTACATAAGAAATTACAGAACAAAATTAATAGTTATTTATATTTATACACATAAAACTCACAAAAAATACAAAAAATTACCTGTAAGATAACAAATGGTGACCACTGGAATAACTAAGTGTTAAAAACATAGGGTAAAACCAGTAAAACTTTTATGTTAATTTTGTGTTTTCAAAGATATGGACAATATTATCAAAGAAGTTAAAGATTGGTATTGTATAAAATTATGCCTCTGATAGCACAATATAAAATTAAAAATTTTAATGATGTAACAAACATATCTGCAATTTGACAATTTACTGAGTTATTGGCCAATCATATTTATTTGTTTATTTATGTTCATCTCCTTACTCAAAACTAAACATTCATACCGTATAAATTTTATTGTAAAGTTTGAATCACATGTTGACATTTTCACCTAATGTAGATAAAAATGGCAAATAGGAGAAAAATAAATATTTTGCTGATAACAGAAAAGTTATATGCCATAAAGACTGTAAAAGAAAGCAAGAATAATAATCTGAATATGTGAAACAATTTGATGTTCCATTAAAAAGCTTCAATGAACAACAGAATCAGACAGAGTAGAAAAGAAAGCATAAATGTGAGTATCCAGATGTTAAAAAAAAAGGTATGCTGAAGTAGTTTATACAGAATAGAGACAAGAATAGTCCTAACAATGAAAAATAAAATAATTTCTTAGAGAGAAAACTGAACAATTCAAACTATAGTTGGGACATACCAGATTTAAAGCAAGCAGTGTATGGATGGATAACTTTAAGAGGGAGGAACAGTTTCCAATAAAATCTGTGATTCTTGCTCTCTTAGTGCTCAGAGGGCAGAAAAAAACACTTTGATGAAAGAACAGAAATACAAAAGAATTACACAAAATGGTTTAAAAGTTTACCAGAAATTGATCTGTACAGATCTATAGCCCAGATGACATTTTCAATGCTGATGAAATAGTCTTATTTTTTAAGGGTCTGCCAGACAAAAGAATGACATTCAATGATGATTTGTCATAGACGTAAATAAAGAACATGTAACTTCTTTTAGGAGTGAACATAACAAGTTATGAAAAACTGTCATTAATTGGAAATCAAGCATCAATGTTTCTGCAATGTCAAAAAGTTACTTATACAATGTGCAGCAAATAACAAGTGTGGATCATGTCAGAACTTTTTTCTGACTGACTGAAAAATTTATTATACATGATTCTTAAAAACAGAAAAATTAATCTTTTTAGCAAAAATCACAGTGCATATTTGATGTTTCCAACTCTAAAAGCTATAACAGTTTTAGATATTTCTAAAACTATTACAAATATCAAATACAATTTCTAGATTGCAACTTTTAGAACAGGAAATCATTCAAAAACTTTAAATTACAATGCAGAAAGCTTATTGTACAAAATATGTTGTATGTTATTGAAAATGGATCATGAATTTTGAAATGACCCTCTTACTGTAGATGCAATGCAAATAATTGACAAAGTTAAAAATGAAGTTTTGAGTGAATTTCTACATTTTACATGGTGAAAAATTTTCTATTGAAGTGTAATCTACAGAAGAAGTCTCACACAAAAACATACACTCTAATCATATGGTTCTATCTTATACATTCAAAAATTGAAAGATACTTTTTGCTAGCACATGAAGAAACCAAAAGATGTCAAATTTAAATCTGATGTACAGTACATTCAATGTATATATTCGAAACTATATATTAAAGTTTACTAGTTTTTAGCATATTTTGCTTTGTTGTTAAATACTACGGAATTCTTCATCACATTAAATGTAGTTCATCTATTGGCATGTTGTCATATATGGTAAGTCTAACCACATATATTATGTCCTTTGAAACAACTTACAAATTCATTAATGTCAATTATGATAATATTTAATTAAACTATTTCCTAAAATCCACCATTAAATAAGCAAAATACAAACATTTTTGCTAATGAATTATTAGGTTAGTTTATTAGAATCTTACCCATCTTACCCATCATATAAGAGCCAGAATTGTCAGTTCCTTTATGACCAAAATATCAAAAGAACCATAATCCTAAACTTGACCCTTTACAAACACATGACAAACTAGATGAGACAAATGGATCGACAGAGACAAACAAGCAAGACCCCAAATTTTTTTTATTTATTTTTTTTCAAATATTAACTTACTCACTAACTAAACTAACCTACCATAACTTAGAACGAACCTAACCAGATGACTAAAGCTAACAACCCTAATCTAATTTAACCTAACCTATCATAACACAACTGGAAACCAAGCTAAGAGTCCCTAATCTAACTTACAATTAGGACTAACTAAATTTAGACCAAAAAAAAAGACAGAAAATAAGAATTAAAGTACAAAGTTAAAAGGCAGCTATATACAGACAGTTGAAACAAAGCAAGGGTAAGCTAATTGCCATCCGTGCCTCGGAGTGAGTGCTCTCAAGAGCCCCACTAAGGATATATGAATGCGAGTAGATGATGGAATATTGTACGCTTGTGAATGAGATGGTGTGGATTCCAAAGCCAGTTGTACTCTTCAAGAATAGCAGCTTTCATTAAACTATCCCTAATGTGACTGTACCTATTGCAGCAAAAAACTAAATGAAGTGATGTTTGGTCCTCCTGAATACCACAACCACATTGTGGATTGTCCCCAAGGTAAAATCTATGCAAGTATTGCTTAAAGTTGCCATGTCCTGTAAGTAGCTGAGTGAGAGTGTAACTAGGGTAAAAGTGGTGAAGAGTTGCAGTAGTGTCAACCTTGGGAATGAAAGTGTAGGTGAGCCTACCAGTGGTGTCATGGTCCAAGCTGTCTTGCCAGAGAATGAAGATCTTCTTCTTGACATGATTGTTGATGCTTGAGGTAGGAATACAACTGAAAGTACTAGTGACTGAACACTTTGCAGCTTGTTTGGCAAGACAGTCAGTAGTTTCGTTGCCGAGAACCTCGCATGACCCAAGACCCATTGGAAATCTATTCTAATGTTATTGTCTAAGTGTCTGAGAATATGGTGTATGAGATGGATGAGTTTTAAGTGGCTATCAGACTTTGCAACCTTGTGTAAAGCTACCCTACTGTCAGAATAAATGTGATAGTGTAAGTAGTGTCTTTTGTCCTTCCTATACCTAATGTGAATTAAGATCATATAAATAGCTAGTTTCTGCCCGTGCTATTGAGTAGTATGTACCTAGACGGAAGCAAACTTTGTGAAGCTCGCGGCCTAAGTCAGAGTAAACTACAAAAGTGGTACCTACATTGTCACCCATCTTGAAACTGTCAGAGTAAATCAGAAACATGGGATGATCATCTGGATCTTTGAAGTAAACGTTAGGGGCAAGCTGATGGGAGGGGAGGTATTTCTAAGTCGGGAGGGTATTTTTGTTGATGCTGAATTTTTTGATATCATTGATCAAGGTCAAACTGGGTGGAATCTTACCTACTCTAATCATTTTGTCACCATCTGAGTTGCTGTAATCTCTCCAGGGTAAGGTGACGAGATTTTCTTGCCAAATAATGCATTTAATTTCTAAGTCGATAGGTGTCAACTATTACCAAAAGGGCACTAGTGGGTGCGGTCCTATAAGCCTTACAAATGCAGAGAGCTGCAATCCTTTGCACAGATAAGTTTTTTACAGTTATGGACTTTGGTGGCCATGTGGCCCCACACCTGTATGGCATAGAGGAGTACTGACTGAATTACACCCCTGTAAATAAGCTCAGTAGTGTTAGGGCCAAGGCCCCATGTGTTCCTAGCAATAGTAATGAGGGCATTAGCCGTCTTTTTAGCTTTGTCCATGATATATTTGATGTGGGTGTGAAGTTAAGTCTCTCATCAAGAATAACACCTAAATATTTAATTTCCGTTGTTTGCTTTATTCTGTGAGCATCTATTCAAAGGGTAAGCTTCCTAATGAGTGGCACATTCTACCAACTATCATGTTTTTGCATGTTAATGGGTTGCCTATGCTTAATACTCCACCGATGAATGCTATTGAGAATGTTGTTGCATATGTCCTGTAAGCATTCACTGTTCCTGTGTGAAGCTAGGATAATTGTGTCATCTGCATAGCCCTGAATGCAGCAACCAGGAGGCAGGGTGTTGTTTAAGTGAAGAATAGTTATAGGCTATGTTACAGAGACCAGGACCAGACCTGGATCCCTGAGAACAGCCTTGAGTGATGGGTATGACTATGTTATTTTGTGTTGTATAAACACCTGCACTCCTGTCTCTAAGATAAGACTGAAGAAGTCTAAAGATTTTGAGGGCAGTGATGAGCATGTAATGTGCATAAGATAGAAGGCCACCAGGTGTGATCAAAGGCACCTCTAAAGTCAATAGTGATAATTGCAGTATGCTGATTGTTTTGTTTAGTCTGGTGGATGGCATCTACAGTACCTTTGCTTTTAGAGAAGCCAAACTGATTCTGATGCAGGGCTCTATGCTTGCCTAGATGCCAAATGATCCTATTAATCATTAGACCATCTAATACTTTTCCCAGAGTTAGAAGAAGGCAGATTGGCCTGTATATTTTGTAAGTGTTAGTGCTGGTGGATTTGGGAATCAATTTGACACTAGCCTTTTTCCACTGAGTATGAAAAAAACTAGTGTTCAAGCAGATATTGAAGAGAATTACAAATGTAGGACTGGCCTCAAACATGTGCTTTATCATCCTAGTGGTTATGCCATCAAGATCTGGAACTTTGTTATTGGTGAGCAAACAGGTGGCATTTGAAACCTTGATGTAAGTGAAGTTGTGGTCATTGTCTGTATTAGGTGGAGTGAGTGTAGAACTCTGGATGACCGCTTGTATATTGCCATCCTGCTGTGGGTCATCCAAAGGTTGGTGAGGATGTGCATGATAGTTTCTTCCCTGTTGTTGGTGTAGTGACCATTGGGGAGCTGGATAGTGGAGGGGGTTTGGAGCTGGTGTTTTTCCTTACAAGCTAAGTAATACAGTTCAGACCAGGGATTGTGACCACAAGTGTTGGTACAGAAATCCTTCCAAGTGTTAGTCCTTGTTTTATTTATAAGAGTTTTGTAAGCATTGTGTTCATGCTTGTACTGGTCTCTAAGTGTGACTTTAATGTCCGGATCCTGTTCATTCCTAAATTGTCTCCTTAATTTCCTAACTACTTTTTTCTTGTTTTCTAGCTAGGTGGTCTATCAAGGAACCTTTAAAATGTTTGACCTCAGAGGCAATAACATAAGAGTTAGTAATCATATTTGTAAGCCTGGTGACAAGATTGTCTAAGGTGTTCTGAGTATAGTGACTGTGGTGAGGGGTACCAGCCCAAATGTTATTGAAGGTGTCGCAGAACAATTGCCAGTTAGTGCGAATATAGTGAAAACTAGGATTATTAGTATTACTAGTAGTGTTCAGTTGGGTGAAGATATACCTATGGTCACTGGCAGAATCTATGTTGGTAGTGTAACAGTGGTCAACTCTAAGGGTGATGTGATTATTTCCTAATGTTAGGTCGATCCAACTTTCCCCCATGATACAGGAGTAGGTCGAAAGGGTGTTGGTGTTCAAGTGAGTAAGGTTGTGTTGGGCCATAGTTTCATTAACTACATTACCCATAGGGTCATCTTTTGGACTATTCCAGGTCGCAGACTTGACATTAGTGCTGGTGTTCAAGCAAGTAAGGTTGTGTTGGGCCATAGTTTCATTAACTACATTACCCATAGGGTCATCTTTTGGACTATTCCAGGTCGCAGACTTGACATTAGTGCTGGTGTTCAAGCAAGTAAGGTTGTGTTGGGCCATGATTTCGTTAACTACATTACCCCTAGTCCAAATCTTTTGGACTATGCCAGGTCGCAGACTTGGCATTAAAGTCTCTTCCTATTAGGATAGGTTTATCTTTGTATGAGTTCAGGAGGTGACGAATGTCTTCAATGGCCATCTCAATGTTAGTGGTGTCTGGAATGTAGACAGAACATATGTAAAGGCGAGTGTTATTGTTTGTAACACAGATGGTGGTAATGTATTCTGTGGTGTGTTGGGAGACAAGGCAGGCAGTAATGTTTTTGCTCTTGATGATAATACCAGCCATAATGCAATAGTCAGGGTCCTGAGCTGGATGTAGTCTAAGTACCATATATGCTAGCATATAAGTTAATTTTTTAAATCTAAAAAAAATTCTCTCCAGAAACAGAGGTATAAAATAAAAACCTTTACCACAGCATAGTAAACAAGTGGAACAGAACACCTAATAATTGCTGTGTACCATTTACTATACTTTAACTCCAGCAGGCCATAATAAGAATTAAAAAAAAAACATTTATACATAAAGGTTCTTTTCATATCAATTTTATAATTAAAAACTTCAAGATTAATGGGTGACTAAATGTAGGTAAAATAATGTTTTTTAATAGTATATAAAAATATTGATTTACCTGTCATTTGAACAAATGGTAGTAATGCATCTAAATTATTTTCTACACTTAACACACTAACTACAGTTGTTCTCCCAATTGGAAGATCAAATATCATTGTATATAAATGATGAAGAGCAGAAACAGCACTTGGATCATCCAATTCTTTTTTTGGTCCTCCTAGATATAATTTTCTTTATTTCATCAATTTTGTAAAAATGATATTTTATAAAATGAATATGTTAACTTACCTCTTGCATGATAAGCAAGCAATGTATCAACAAGCTGTAATGCTTGCAGATGACAAATTAATTGCATTCCAAGACAATGATTAATACTATCTTCATTGCTGTCCTCTCTCGAATCATCCTAGGAAAATAAATTTATTAATATTTTACAAAATATTTATTAATTGAGACAAAAGATGAAAAAAATATATTCCTACTTACAACTTGCATTAATGCTCTATGAATTCCATTTACTGCATCAGGATTAGACATTAAAAATAATATTCCTGGTTGTGAATTGAATAATTCTATAAATAGATCTTTTATTGCTGTCAAAATATCCATGTGTGCAGAAGTTGCAGGAGAAGAAACCAATATAAATATACTTTCTAACAGAAAGCTGAAAATCAAGTTTAAAAACATTTATTTTTCTATAAAAATATACTGTTTAATAAAAATACATATTTTCTATGCATAGTCATTTATATAATTAAATTTATTCTACACTGCTCAATAAAATTAAGAGATAATGCAATGTGTAACAAAAGCAGACATATGACCAAATAAATTTTCTCCAGAAAATGATATGTATGAAACGATAACATAGATCATAACAAAAAGTAAAAACAAATGTCTTAAAAACTTACATTTATTTAAATTTATGTAACCTGGCAACGTGTCAAGGCAAATGAAATATTTCTGATATTAAAAACAATAAAACAAAGAAACAAAAACATTTCTAGTAAAATGTATGATTCTTGTAAACTGTATAACCATAGTATACTGTTATAATCTCATTTTATTAATGCCAACACACCTGTTGGCATTAAAAAAATGAGATTATCCAGAAGTTCTTGTGGTATTTTTATAATGCATTATCCCCTAATTTTATTGAGAAGTTTAAGAACAATAAATTATATTAAATATTTGATTATGAAGTACATATTTTAAGTTATTAAAGTTAAATTTATTTTTACTGTAAAAATCAGTCATACATTAATAATATATCTGGAAATCAAAGAAATGTTATTAATGTTTATTCTGCTACTTTCTGATGCTATAACTAACAAATATACAACATTCAAATGATTAAAATATTTTAATTAATTATTACTAAAAATGTTTTATAGAATATTTATTTATAAATTTTTCTTCATAATTTCTTTCAATTTACTTTATTTTCATAAAGAATTATAAAGGACGATAAAGAATCAATTTTTAAAATCTACATAAAGTATTAATAATGCTTTATATACTTTCCAAAAATGATTAAAATGTATCAAAATAAAATAATAAAAGTGATTGTTTCAAAAATTATGCTAACAGTTTAAAGAAGTTTTACAATCATTATCAATAATAAATTAGCTAATATTAAAATTTGATTTTAATTGTAAAGGACTTCTGCTATGCTGATCTTATTCTTTATGTTCAAAAGAAAAAACTAGTAGCTTGTTAAGCAGCTTTTTCATCTATTCATGTAGAATATGTTCATGATAAATGACTTATTAAACTCTTCTTTTTCTCTGATAAATAAAAGTGTGAGGGACGAACAGACCCACAATAAAGTGTTATTTTAAATTTTAATTATTGGAAAATATAATCGGTTAAATTCGAACGTTTTATCGAGTTAGGCTAAAAGCCATAAAATTTATTTCCCACGGAGTTTGTTCCTTGTTGAGTCGGATCAAGTTAGTCAGGGATGTGTCACCAGGAACTTTTGATGGAGAAGACATATTGGACGTGCGACCGTTAAAGGCCATCACCTGACCTCATGGAAAAAACCCAAGAGGAATGAAAAAGAGAAAAGAAAAAAAGACCCCGAGGTCAGTCGTCATCCAAAGTCCGCCCAACAAAGTCGTCCTCCAGGATAAAAATCGTGACACCGGATTAAAACCGTGACCCAGGATTAAACCCGAGAGAAACATTCGTGCTGGATTAAGCCTCTACACTCCTCCGTGCCTCCACACCAGTGAACGGACAAGATTCTGATTCAAGATTCAACGGTAAAGAACTGTCCATCGACAAGGTATTTATCAACCCGCGATTCGTTTGTAAACTCTCTCTCTCTCAACGGCCTAGTATAATTAAGAACGATAATATGCCCGATAGTATTTAGTATCTCTGTATAGTATTTAGTTCGACTTAATTAAAATTGTTATTTATTTGTTACTATGGAGTCCGAGTAAGTTACTTCCTCGTCTCTCTCCTCACCTCTACTCCGAATCCAAGCGCTCACACGCTACCGCTCGCGAATCTTTAGACGTAACGTCGCGATTTCCGAGTCCCCCAGAGACTCGGTGGTGTCAGATTCAGGTCTCCTGACAGGGCGCCAAAGAGGTGCCGACCCTACGGTCACAAAAGTGTGTATAGTAAAACCTTGATTTAATGGACTTTGAACTTAATGAACAAAATTTCTGGTTCTTATGTCATAAAAATTAACAGGATGTTAATTTGTAAATACTTATTTTATACATAATTAAATTAACAAGTTATTGTTTTCAAATTAGAGTCATTACTCTTTAACTTCATGCCACAATGAGAGTGTCTCTATGTCATCATCCAAAAATGAATAAATAGGAATTATTTTTTGTTTTTGTCAAATTTATATTTTGTTTTCCTTTTAAAACATTATTTATTTGTTTAGTTAAATACGATTAAAGTGCATTTTCCAAAAAAATGTTTGTTTATCCCAATTTAAATCGTATACTTGTTTATTAATTAAATTCTTAATACTTAAGCAATAATACATATAGAAAAGTTTTCTGTAAATTAAATTTTTCAAACATGCTTAATTTTAATTATACAAATGTATCTGCATAAGTAAAAATAGATAAACTTTTTAACATGCACATTCAAAAAATTACTTTATAACAGTGGCATACAGTGACATTTCGTGATAGGGAAGCTGTGCCCGCCCTGAATGGAATCATTGGAAGTGTTATACGATATTTTGGTGTGTAGCATCCATGAGCTAAACCGGGTAAGGTTGGTGCTCTGTAAAGCACATGCACGAATGCATATAATCTGGTTGCTTTACACAATTTAAATATTTTCGTCATAGAAGCTGTCCTGTATTTGACAATACAGCATTTCCATTGGAAATATGCATACAGTAGACCCCTATAAAACGGGTTCATATAATACAAATTTGTATATAACGGCAAAAAAATTGTGACAATATTCATATAAACACGCTAAAAGAAACTCGTAAAATACAGTAAAACGTCATTGCCAACTTGTGTTGCGACAGGATTGGTCGAATCTAGACCAATAGCGAATATTGCACAAACCGTTGAGTTTAAATGAGCAGCGGACTTACCAAAAACCATTTATTATTTAACGGCCATAAAAATTATATTTATATTAATAATGTCTCCAAAGTTCAGCAAATTTTTTGCAGAAAAATAATTTATCAGAAAACACGCGCCCGCTGTTTGATGTGCCGCTCCACAATGAAAACAAGCTTAAGCAATGGCGTTGTTGAACGGTGCACACTCGGTAAGTAATCCTACAATATTTTGTTTACAGCATAGTTTATATGGATTATTCCCAAAAAATTATACATGTTTTGGAAATGTTGAGTCAAATTAGTCAAGAATCGATTAATTTTATGGAAGAAAACCTTTCAAACAGCCATAGTCCGCAAACTGCATATGTGCTGGGCTGTGATTGGCTCATGTATTTAAGGACTCGTACAACATGAATTTCATAAAACACGGAGCGTAACTACCATGTTATAGGGGGTCTACTGTATATGAATTTATATTTGAATATACAATAGCAATTTTATCATTGTTTTTCACATGTATAGAAATTTGTAATAAGATACATTAATGCAATTATAATAAAATATTCATTTGAATTAATTCGAAGTGTTAAAATATGAAAATAATCACATAAATCAAACAATATGTACTTATTTTGCGATAGTTATGCAAAATAATGTTATGAATTTAAATAACAGCATGATACCCACAGAATGATGGGAAGAGTTAATAATACATAATAGTTGTAAATGCGATGGTACTTGTGTTAATGATGTGTCTTCTAATGGATAACCTGTATTACTGATTGTAAGAAACCCTGCTGAAGAGGCCAAAAAAATCGAAATGCATCCGGAGTGAAGTGTAGTGTTAAATGAATTTTTTTCTCTTAAAGTTAACCTGTTGGTCCTTTTGTTTTTTATACCAGTCTACAGACTTGAAATTTTTTAAGCCTCCAGAAGTCAGAGAAGAAAGGAGAATTATTTTTCCATGTACTAGTTAATAGTACAATTGGGTAAAGACAATTTATCTGACTCCATTGGTTTTTTTAAATATTTTTATTAATATGTATTTATATTTTAGAAAATACAAGGGAGGCAGTGCTTCCACAGCTTCCATGGACAACATGCTACTGCTTTATTATATGATGGACTTTTGGCTTTAACAACCACTCCCTCACCTGAATTAGTCTGTTAAACTGAGTTTTTACTGTATTTTAAATTTGACGTTTTTTTAACTAGAATACAGTAGAAAAACGTTTTTTTAAACCTTGTGTCAGCATCACAGGATGGCTTAAATATATTAAACACTTTTTCCTAAATTTATTATTATGTTAAAACGGGGATGTATCTTATATGCCATAAAATACAATATGTAAATTTCTGATAATTTATTTAAAGATAATGTTTTCCTATAAATGAACAGTTAGGAATTTACCCAATCTCTTTACTTTATTTAAAATATGTTTTCAATATATTTTTGTATAAGTGTCACAACAAAAATTATTAATCAATTTATAAGAACCCATGTTCTATTTTATGCAATAAATTCTCTCTCTAAACTTAGTTGTCTTCTGAATTTATCCCATAATGAAATAAAGTTTACCTCATTGTAAGTTTATCAAAAATACACTTTCATATAAGAGTAAATTGGAATTACTATCAATGTAATTCTAAGTTCAAAATGATTTTTGATCAACAAATGCTACCATTAAGAGATAATACTTATATAGATTTTACAAAGGACAAGTGTTATTGGTGCAACTCTAGAGATTATACTTTGAGTCATCTACTAAAAGACTGTGAAAGATTAGAAAAATACTGTCAAAACGTTTTTTATTTTATTTTTAATATTTGAAGACAAAATTTGCCCAAGTAGGAATCATCATTTATTAACTTTGCGTTCCAGACAATACATTTTCAGTGACCGACCTTCCTTTCTAGGCTACTAATTGCCAAAAAGCTAAAAAGTCCTTTTAAAAATACAAAAATTTCCGATTAAAAATACAAATATTTTCTAAAATTGGAACTGGTGGTATACGAATGTCTTTCTTGTTACCATCTGCACTCTTTTGGGGTGTTTCAACCTTTTATCCACAGAGAAGTGAGCGCTGGAAAATGTAGATTAAAAAAAGTTC